CCCCAAAATGAAAGAACTAGAGAATTCTCCAGAAGAAGAGACAAATGAAGCAGAGATAAGAAATTTATCTAAACAGAGTTCAGAGTAATGATGGTAAAAATGCTCAACAGTATGAAAAAAGATATAGTAACTATGAAAAAAGAACAGCGTGAGATATAGAATGACATAGCACAAAAAAAGCAGATTATGGAAAGCTGAGGATCAAATCAGTGAATTAGAAGACAGAGTTGAAAATATCACTCAATCAGAGAACCAAAAAGAAAAAATATTAAAAAAACAGGACAGCTTAAGGGAGCTGTGGGACAATGTGAAATGTAACAATATTAGAAGAGCAGGTGTGCCAGAAGAGGCAGAATGGGAGAAAGGACTAGAGAAGGTGTTTGAAGAAATAATGGCAGAAAACTTCCCTAACTTGGTAAAGGAAAAACTCACACAAGTTTAGGAGGCACAGAGAACCCCAAACAAGAAGAATCCAAACAGACCCATGCCCAGACATATCATAATTAAAATGCAAATTAAAGACAAAGAATCTTAAAGGCAGCAAGAGAAAAGTAAACTGTTACCTACAAAGGAGTTTTCATAAGGCTGACATCTGATTTCCCATCAGAAACTCTACAGGCCAGAATGGAATGGCATGAAGTACTCAAGGTAATGGAAAGCAAGGATCTGAGATCAAGATTACTATATCCAGTAAGGCTATCATTCAAAATAGATGGTCAAATAAAGAGCTTCCCAGATTTAAAAAAAAAAAAAAAAGGCTAAAGGAGTTCATCAACACCAAGCCAGCATTATAAGAAATGCTAAAGGGATTGCTGTAAGGGATTGCTGAGAAAAAGAAACAGAGAGAGAAACCTAGCCATACAGAATTAAAATAGCTATAAATAAGTACCTCTCAATAATAACCCTAAATGTAAATGGATTAAATGCTCCAATCAAAAGGTGTAGGGTAGCTCAATGGATACAAAAACATGACCCAACTATATGCTGTGTAAAAGAGACCCAACTCAAAACAAAAGACACAAACAAGATGAAAGTGAAGAGATGGAAAAAAAATTTCATGCAAATGGAAAAGAAAAAATAGCTGGAGTAGCAATACTCATATCTGACAAAATAGACTTTAAAATGAAGGCCATCACAAGAGACAACAAAGGTCACTACATAATACTAAAGGGATTGATCTAACAAGAGGATATAACCCTGGTAAACATGTATGCACCCAATATAAGAGCACCTAAACATATATTAGAGTTCCGGTGCACGAATTCGTGCACAGGTGGGGTCCCTCATCCTGGCTGGCAATCAGGGTCAATCAGGGCCAATCAGGGACAGCTGGCCAGGGGAGGTTGGCCAGCCATGGGAGGTTGGCTGTGGGAATGCACTGACCACCAGGGGGCAGCTCCTGCATTAAGCATCAACCCCCTGGTGGTCAGTGCATCCTCATAGGGACCGGTCGTTCTGTTGGCTGGTCATAACTGTCCCTTAGGTTTTTATATATATAGATATCTAATCTAATAAAAGACAAACATGCAAATTGACCATACCTTCGCTATGCCCCAAACCACGCCCACCAGCCAATCAGAGCAACTATATGCAAATTAACCCAACCAAGATGGCAGCCGGCAGCCACGGAGCTGGAGCAAGCAGGAGGCTTGGTTGCCCCAGCGATGGAGGAAGCCAAGCTTCCCGCCTGCCATGGCCAGCTCTGGCCTCTGCTGAAGGCAACAAAGTTTCAATTACAGAAGACAAATAAACCCCATATACCTGCTTCCAGCCAGCCTCCACTAGGAGCTTGGGTGGCTGGGGGCCTTGGCCAGCCTGCAAACAGCCATCAGCCCCTCACCCAGGCTGGCCACACCCTCATGGGGTGAGGGTCCCCACTGGGGCTTGGCCAGCCTGCAAACAGCCATCAGCCCCTCACCCAGGCTGGCCAGGCACCCCAGGGGAGACCACCACTCTGAAGGAGCTGTGGCCAGCCTGCAAACAGCCATCAGCCCCTCACCCAGACTGGCCAGGCACCCCAGTGGCGACCCCCTACCCTAAAGGGGGTGTGGCCAGCCTGAAAACAGCCCTCAGCCCCTCACCCAGGCTGGCCAGGCAATTCAGCGGGACCCCCACCCTGAAGAGGCTGTGGCCAGCCTGCAAACAGCTCTCAGCCCCTTACCCAGGCTGGCCAGGCACCCCAGCGGGACCCCCACCCTGATCCAGGACACTCTTCAGGGCAAACAGCTGGCTCCCACCCATGCACCAGGCCTCTATCCTATATAATAAAAGGGTAATATGCAAATTGATCCTAACAGCAGAACGACTGGGAATGACTGGTCACTATACACACACTGACCACCAGGGGTCAGACGCTCAATGTAGGAGCTGCCCCCTGGTGGTCAGTGCGCTCCCACAGGGGGAGCTCTGCTCAGTCACAAGCCAGGCTGACGGCTGCCAGTACAGCGGTGGTGGTGGGAGCCTCTCCCGCCTCCTCAGCAGCACTAAGGATGTCCGACTGCAGCTTAGGCCTGTTCCCCGCTGGCAAGTGGGCATCCCCCGAGGGCTCCCGGGCTGCCAGAGGGATGTTTGACTGCCAACTTAGGCCCATTCCCCTGGGGAGCGGGCCTAAGCCAGCAGGTGGTTATCCCCCAAGGGGTCCCAGACTGCGAGAGGGCACAGGCCGGGCTGAGGGACCGCCCCCCTTCGAGTGCACAAATTTTTGTGCACTGGGCCTCTAGTATGTATATAATACTTCTAGAGGACTTTAAAGGAGAGATTGACAATAATACAGTCATAGTAGGGGACTTCAACACTCCTCTGACTTCCCTGGATAGATCTTCCAGACAAAAACTTAACAAGGAAACAGAGTCTCTAAAGGACACACTGGATCATATGGATTTCATTGACATTTATAGAACATTTCACCCAACACAGCAGAATATAGATTCTACTCAAGTGCACATGGATCATTCACAAAGATGGACCACATGTTAGGACACAAAACAAGTCTCTACACGTTCAAGAAGACTAAAATCATATCAAGCATCTTCTCAGATCACAGTGGAATGAAATTAGAAATGAACTACAGTAAAAACACCCCAAAACATTCAAACATATGGAGGCTAAATAGCACGTTATTAAACAATAAATGGATTACCAACGAGATCAAGAAAGAAATCAAAAACTTCCTGGAAACAAATGAAAATGAACACACAACAACCCAAAATCTCTGGGACACAGCAAAATCAGTCCTAGGAGGGAAGTTCATAGCACTACAGGCATACCTGAAAAAAACAAGAAAAAGCAGCAATAGATTATTTAACCTTACAACTTAAAGAACTAGAAAGCGAACAATAAGAAAATCCCAGAGTAAGTAGAGGAAGGAAATAATAAAGATTAGAGCAGAAATAAATAACACAGAGGCAAAAAAAAAATCTAAAAAATTAATGAAACCAAGAGCTGGTTCTTTGAAAGGATAAACAAAATTGATAAACCATTAGCCAGACTCATTAAGAAACAAAGAGAGAGGACCCAAATAAATAAAATCAGAAACGAAAGTGGAGAAGTAACCACAGACACCACAGAAATACAAAGGATTGTAAGAAAATACTATGAACAACTATATGCCAACAAACTGGACAATGTGGATGAAATAGACAAATTCCTAGAAAAATACAATCTCTGAAAACTGAACCAGGAAGAATAAAAAAAACCTGAATAGGCCAATAACACAAATCCCAGAGACAAACTCAGTAACTTGTTGGGAAAGTCCCTACCTGAATCCCATAATAAGCCTTGAACAATCCTTGAATGCCTCACTTTACTGACACGGGTACTTCAGTGGAAATCCAGTGTCCCTAACAGGGAGAAAGCCAGCCAACCTACAAATGTAAATGTCCTGATTAGTTAACCCCAGCAACTTCCGTGTTCCCAAGGAATAAGCCCCACATTCAAGGTGTAGAACCTGAGGCCCTACCTTAGTCTTCTCACTCTCTGCAGAGCCTCAATAAATCTGCCTTTGCTTTTTATCAGTGTCCCTGGTCTAAATTCTTTTATATCAGGAGACAAGAACCCAAACTCATTGGTAATATTCTCATTTCTAAAATTCTACCACTAGATTTAGTTTCTCCGAGTTAGTAGAGAATCATGATATAAAAAGAAATGTAAATACCCTCTACATTCATAAGGTTTTCAATTCTATATGCCATTGCAACTCTAGTACTTTCCAGGTGACAGCTACGTGAGAACAATTCTATACCCAATTGCTAAGGTTTGAGAGGGAAAGGAAAGAGAGAAAATATGTCTGCATAGTATCATGAAGAGCCCCCAAAATCCAAGAAAATGAAACTCAGGAGAACGAGAAGAGCGCTAGTACTGCTTTTACTGTCTTATTCTGCTCTGGGGCGAGTCCTACAATTACGTAACTGAAAATCCAAAGCATTGACAGTAACTTGTGGAAAGCAAAAGCAAACAAGAAACTTCATCTAAATGGTTGCATCTGCAAAGGCGACATCTGTTGATTGATTCATATGCACCAGATTCTATTTAAGCCTCTTCCCATGTATTCATTCTTTTAATTTGCACAATCCAAAGTACTAGTATTACCTCCTGTAGGTACTAGTGTCATCGCCTCCTCCTAGGTCAGAAAATCCAAGCACAGAGGTATTAAGTAACTTGCCCAAGGTTGCTCCCACTCCTAGGGAGACCCCTGCCTTCTGAGCCTGGGCCCTGCAGCACGAAGCTATACTGTCTTTCCAGAATGATGGAGGATGACGATGATGAGACAAAGGAAGAAGAAGAAGCCTGCCGCCTGGAAGCAAGAGGGTATGTTTATTGTCACAGAAGCTTAAGCTCAGAATTTGGAAATGATCTGGAGTCGGGTTAGCTATGAGTCATCTGGCAGCTTTGTTTAAATCTGCACTCGGAGCTTCTGATAAAACAATTTCTCTGCCCACAGGAAGGGGAATTGGTTCCTGTTAACTTGATTCTTTCCAAAAATGAGCAAGAACTCCGGCAGTCTTTGTCTGACCTGGACACCTTCGGAGGAAAGCTGAACCAAAGGGGACTTTGAGGGCGTCCTGGCTCCACCACTTACTACTCGTGTCACCTTAGGCGAGTCGTTGACGCCGTGGTTTCACTGGAACTGGGATTACAAAGCTTCCCCCCCCCCCCCCGCCCGAGCTCTATATGACCTCACACACACACACACACACACACGGAATGGATGAAAGCGCGGGGGACACACGCGTTATTCTAGCCCTTATGGCGAGCGGAGGAGGGGATGGGAGGGCCAGCTCCATCCCTCCCCCCCGCTCATAAATGAAAAAAGTAGGGGCAACCCCGCGCTGCAGGGTGGATGAGGGGAAAGAGAAGAAAGGGAACGACTGGGGCGTGGGGACGTCTCCCTCTCGGCCTGAAAGCAAACCCCCTTCCCGGAAGGGGCTGCTACCTCGGCGGCGGCAGCAAGCTCGGGAAACGCTGCCATTGGTTCCTCTCCGCCGCCACCAGCCGCACGGACACCACCGAGGTCGCCGCCATGGCCTGCAGCCCCGCGGCTCTCCCACTCGTGGGCGCACGTCAGCTGCGTCCCGCACTCTGCAAAAGCGCTGCTCCGCGCCGCAAGCCTCTTGTCCTCCGCCGGCCACCGTCCAGGTCAGAGCCGTGCGATGGGCCGAGCCCAGCGTGGTGGGCGTCTCCCCCGAAACCAATCAAAACACAAGGCAGCGCTTCGGGGCGGCGATTGGCCAATCGGGCCGGCAACTGGCCAATCGGGCCGCGCGCCCGCAGAGGTGTGGTCCCTGCCGCCCCCGCCCCCTGAGTTCGGCGGCGAGCAGCTGGGGGTCGGGCTGTCCCGGGTCTCCCTGGGACCTGGGGTTTCCGAGCGCCGTTCCTCCCCGCCCGCGGGCTCTGCGCTCCCTCCGCTTCGGGTAGAAGACCCCTCCCTGCCATCTGCGTCCTTAAAGCCGTGGGAAGTAGCGGGGGAGGAGTCTTGGGGCAAAAGCCAAATGGGGTGGAGAGCAGCACACAAAATTCGTGTTCTCCAAAAATGAAGGAAAAAAGCCAAAGTAAAATAACTAAAATAAAAATGTAAAACCTCCCGAGCTTTTGAAAACGTGTTTTAATTGAACTATTGGGAAAAATAAGTTAAAACCGGAATTGCAGAATATCTAGAAAATAAAGACACTGAAAGCACGACGCGTAGATACTGATTCACAGTGAAAGTAAATGCAACATCCAATTCAAGGGTTACAAAGATACCAAAGCAAACACAAGGAAAGCAGGATCGAGAAACGAGTAAAGATAAAGAAGAAGAAATGAATTAAGAAAACTAATACCAAAGGAGTAATAAGTCCAGGGATTCGGGGGGGAAAAAACACCTGATAAAAGAGATGGTTAACTAATGTAGTCAAAAGAAAGGGGCGTGAACACTTGCCACAATTAAAAACATAAAGGGGGCGGGGGGCTCCGATCTAGAAAACAAACTCAGATTTGTAAGAGACTAACTTTGCTCGATTTAAGCAAAGAAACTTGAACACCTGGATGCAATGGATGATGTTACAAGAAAATACAGTTTACCTGAACAGATCCTGGGAGAGAAAATCTAATCAAGCCATTCCCGTAGAACTAGAGCGTATTATTATTATTATTATTATTATTATTACTATTATTATTAAAGAACCACGTTTCCTGAGGCAGGTGGCCCACCTGGGCTCAGAGGGAAATCCTACCCACGCGGTAAAGAGGTTGACTCCAGTGCTGGGAGCCTGTCCCCAGCGCATGGGAAACGGAGTCGTCCTCATTCTTTTTATGAAATAAGCATAACATTGGCACCCACATCTAGCAAAAATAGGGTGCACACACACACCCACACACACCTGTGGTTCAATTTTACTGATAAAGATCAATGGGAAGATCTAACGTGCAGCACGGTGACCATCGTTTCTAGCACCGCGGTGACACTTGAATTTGCTGAGAGAGTAGATCTTAAGGGTTCTCACCGCGTGCACCATGCGGGGTGATGATGTGTTAACCTGATTGCGGCCATCACTGCACTATGTGTACATATACCAAATCATACCCACCACACTTCAAATCTATGCAATTTTATGTTTATACCTCAATAGAGTCAGTAGAGCTGGTGGTTGAGGGAGGAACTGAACAAGTATAAAGAAAAAACAAGAGGCGAGGGCGTGGCAGCCAGGCTGGCGGCCAGCCCAGGGCGCAGGTGGTTGAGCCCCCACCATCTCCGCTTCCTTCCGCGGTCCCGAGGCCCCGCGCCGGAGCGCGCCCGCCCACACGGCTCCTGCTGGCGACCTTGGCGTGGGAGGCTGCCGAGGGTGAGAGGCGGGTCCAGTTAGACCTGCGCGTCTCACCAGGTGGCAGGGAGGGCGTCCTTGGCTGCAGTCAACAAGGGCAACCAGCCGGGAGCCGGGGCGTATCCGCTTTGCAGCAGGTTATGATTATTACAATCGTTTTATTAACTCAAAAGCATGGCATCACAACTGTCAACCTACTTTTGCCCACCCCGGTGTGTGTGTGTGTGTGTGTGTGTGTGTGTGTGTGTGTGTGTATTAAATAATTACGTTTTGGAGCAATTTGTTATACAGCAAAAGATAAAAACTGATACACAGAATGTGTACTTTCACAGTGAACCTCCATCACTCAACATAATGTCTTTAAATTTCATTCATGTTTTATGTATTATTTTTTACATGAAAATAGCACAATTTGTTTACCCAGTATCCTAAGGGTGGACTTTGGATTGTTTCCAGTCTGGGATGATTACAAATGAAGCTGCTATAGGTATTTTTTCTTCACCTCTTTCTGTGAACATATGCACTCATTTTTCATGCATATACACCTACTTGTCAAATTAATAGCTCCGCAAACTATGTCTTGTGGTCCTGCCACTGTTTTTTGTACATGATGTCTAGTGGAATACAGCCATGACCATTTGTTTATGTATTGTCTATGGCTGCTTTCATGTTACAGTAGCAGAGTCCTGTGGTTGCATAGAACCTGGCCCACAAAACCTAAACTATTTACTATCTTGCTCTTACAGACAGAGTTTGCCAACCCCTGGATTGTTACGTGTTTAAGTTTATAAGAAACTGCCAAAAAGTTTTCCTAAAATGGTTGTATCATTTTATTCTACCAGCAATGAATGGCAATTCCTCTACAGCACTTGGTATTGCCAATCTTTTTCATTTTAGCCATTTTGGAGGTTGTGGAGTGGTATCCCATTGTGGTTTTAATTTGCAATGGCTAGACTGGCCTTGGTAAGTGGCGTTCCCTGCTGTTGAGTCCATATAGAGCTTCTGCCCCTGCCACCATGCCCACCCCATTCACGTGCCCATTTTGCACATCCTGGTGTGGTCTGTGACAAAGGCTGGCTAACTTCACCGCTGAGTCATCTTGTCGACTTGGTCGCTCAGTGACCCTTTCATGGTGGATGCTTTCTGGTAGACATTAACATGTGAAGCAAAACCGTTCACACGTTACACCTACTCTAATGTGTCCATCCATATGCCTCTATCCCAGAGCTCCTTGTCTCTGATCGTCCAGTCCTGTTCTTCCCTAACCAGATGGCCAGACCATGGCACTGTCCAGGACACCGGGCATATTCTCACCCTGGGCCACCTTCCCTTCCACACAGATTTGGATGACCAGTGCCCTGCTTGCTGCTGAGCCCACTGTGAAGATTCCCCTCTGTCAGGGCCAGCCTGACAGGTTGAGCCGGGCTGAGGTAGGGAGGTGGGAATTGAGAAAAGAAAGAAAGACAGGAAAGCGGGATCGAGAGGACTGCAGCTCAATCGAGGAACTGCAGCAAGTTTATTAACTACACAATGCTATTTATACACAAGACACTGAATAGGAGGTCTGTCAAGAGGAATGTATTCTTTGTTCCTCTTAATCTCTAAGGGAGAGACAGAGCAGAAGGACAAATTCTCGGCACAGCAAATCTCAGTAAATAGTTACAGATTTCTTGGTAAGCCACGAAAGGCTGTTCTCATTCTACAAAGGTTGCTCTCATTCTACTGATAATCGCCATCCAAACAAGTCTGGGAAAACTGTGTGGGTAAGGGTCCCAGCCTTGCTAGCCCCTTCAGGTGCAAGGACCTTGTCAGCTTACACCTGGTCTCCAACACCCCTCCCTGTCTTTCGGGTTCACTTTTGAAGGTGGCTGTAATGCAGCTACTGTCCAGATTTGCTTTGCACCCACCTACCAAGCCAACTGATCTGTAAGCCAGTTTGGGCTTGCCTCCTTTTTCAAAAGGTGGCATGCGTCCCCTCCCCCAACAGGGGCGCTGGTGCTACGCAGGTGGGTGACACGGGAGCCTGGGCTACCTGCCCACGAAGCCTACTCATGCCCTCTAGACCTGCTCGGGCTAGAACCTGGATGTACCATTTCCAGCTTATAATTGACTACTGCTGAGACCCGTCTGACTTTATTACTGAGTGGATTTGACATAACCCAGCCCAGATGGGGCCAATTATGGATATAGAGTCACAAGGTCAAGTGTTCAGGACCCAGTGACATGCCAACAGCTGTTTCTCTGCTGCAAATGGCGTGGGCTTGGTCTTGCTCCAGAATGCTCAGGGTCTGTGCTATGATTCTCCCACTGGTTTGTGTCAAAAATTCCATACTGTACCTTTCCCCACCACTGCCACCTCTAACACCATAAGGTCTGCCTGACGCATGACTTAAGCAGCAGGGCTGATTGCAATACCTGATGGCAGGCCTGGAGTTGCTTTGCCACCCTTCCCTGCTCTGGCCCCTCTCAGAACTGATAGCTTTCTATGTCGCCGAGTAAACGGGCCAGAGGGATTCTCCTAGCTGTGGAATGCTGCCTCCAGAACCTGGAGAGGCCTGCCTGCCTTTATGTGGGGAGCCGCTACAGTGTTTGGACAGGTTCAAGCCTTGGACTGAGGAGAGGGCACAGTCCTCTCATTGCCACGTGCAAGTCCCAGCTTGGAGGGCAGGGTCCTCCCAGCACAATTATAGCCAACAGCTATAGTTGTAAGCTTGAACCTATGGTTGGAACACGTGACCCCACGTGTCTGAGTGATGTAGGCTTGATAGAATTCAGGTGCATGTAGAGTAGGATTGAAACCCACGAGAATGTTGTAAACATCTTGATCACACCCTTACTTTGCCTCGTGGCATCTGCTATAAAATAAAGACACGGCTTGTGGGCGCTGGTGCTGTCTCTCCATCAGAGGAGCAGCGTACCACCAGACCCAGCCTTCATTCTCTTGTCTGTCTTTTTTCAGCGTTCCAATTTTTTTTTTAGTATATGTGCTGCCGAAGCAAGCACTGTGCTGCCTTCTTTGTGGAAAGGATGCAAGATGCAAAACATGTGTCTTTTTTTTTGAAGTAGATATTCTGGCATGACCCTGAACCCCTGGGTTACTAAAAACTTCACTGAAGTAGTCAATGCCTGAATCTTGATAGGGTTTGTGTCCTACCTCCTGGAACATGTGTCTTACCAAGGCCTCCAGCATACTGACGGCTTTGTGCTTATCTAATAAGCATGATGTGATCAATGTAGTGGTTTGGTGTGATGTCCCATGGGATGTCTGTATGGACCAGATCTCTTTGGATTATACCATGATAGAAGACAGGAGAGTTAATACATCCCTGAGGAACAGCTATAAGTGAGTGTTGTAGAGCAATGGGACAATGATCAGCCCCATGGAAAGTCAAGTCAGCCCGAACAGTGGCTGGTCAATGGACTGTCAGCACCAGGGATTGAGAGGGTGCTCTCCTAGGCAGGTGCTACACGTGGGGCAGAGTTGGAAGCAGGCTAGAGAGCAACCTGCTCTTATTACCCTTTGTATAGACTCTTATTTAGTCATTGTTCTTAGTGTGCATACTAGAATTTATTTACCTGAGTTTCCCAAAAATGTAAGCCACTAATTCCACAGTATGTACCTGGACAATTGACCTGGGATAGTCAGCATCCAAGATGGCCCTCCTCCATTTCCGCCTCTCCTGGCACTCACACCCTGTGAGTCCCCTCCCACACTGTACCAGGGGTGCTCCGTGTGACCAATAGAGTACGACAGAGTGTTGGTATGTCACTCCTGTGATTAGGTTGTCAGTCTCCTTTTTGGATCATTCACTCTGGGAAAAGCCAGCTGTCATGTTGTGAGCCTCCCTATGGATATGCCACATGGTGTAAACTTGGAAGCAAATCCTTCGGCCCCAGTTGAACCTTCAGATGATTGCAGCTCTGGCCACTCAGTGAGAGATCATAAGCCAGAACCTCCCAGTTAAGCTGCTTCCAGGTTTCTGACCCTCAGAAACTCTGTGAGATAATAAATGTTTGTTATCTTAAACCGCTAAGTTTTGGGGTAATGTGTCACACAGCTATAGATAACTAATACAGGACATCTTATTTATCTCAGCCCCTACCAGAGTGTCTGGCATTTAGTAAGTCCTTAATCAATGTTGATTGAATAAGTGAATGAATGAATGAATGAATTATGAGAGCATTTAAGTAAACCAGTAATCCAATCAGGTAGTCTGGACTGAATTGAGAGATTTAATTTGTAACTTTAACGTGGTATATCTTCTCAGAAATTAAGTTTATCTCAAATAGGTCTTCCTACCTGGTAATAATGTGGCAATGAAGAATAGAACAAAATAAATTATTTATAGAAAGATGTCTTAACCTATTAACTCAAGTTACAGCCTCCATATTCAAGGCCAACCACTAAGATTGTAAATGAAAATATTTATACAACAAAAACTGAATTATAAGAAATAAGTGAATCTCCAAAATATGTTTTTATTAAAAAAACATTTAATACAATTCAATATTCTATTAAGACTAAAATCAGGACCTTGCCTATACTCTTGACTTGTAAGAGAACAAGTCTTGGGTGACTTGAATCATTTTTTTACTAAAGAATGCTAGAGGCATGTGGTCTTTATGTTAATGTCCTGACTTAGTTCCTTTCTTTAGCAATAAAAACAAGCATGAAAATTATTATTATTATTATTTTGGCAGGCTGCTCTACAGAATAAAGTGAACTAAAATAGAAAATGTGGCTATGAAAGTGCAGAAGTAGCAAGTTACCACTAGAGGGGGATCTACATTCAAGAAGGAAAAGTTGGTTAGCCGTTAGAAAATTGCTGTTGTCAAAGAAATAAAAAAATACCTTACTTTACTCCATTTCTTTATCTGTAGAGCCACAGCTAAACAATCCCATTAAAACGAGAAGCTGACTGATGTGACTGAGCTCCCCCCCCCCTTTCCTTTAAGGGAATAGAACTTAAAGATAGGCTCCTTTATTACCTGGCAAGTCCTCCTTTAATCTACCCTCATCTGTCACGATTCTGGATAAATTTATTTCCTATGAAAAAGGGAGCATATGCCAGTGTGAGGCTTAGGGCAGCACTTAGCATCATTTGTTCCTGTAGGCAACTTGGTGTAGTGAAAACACGGGAGACCTTGGTATGACCAACGGGAAATCTAATCCTGGCCCTGCCACCTGTCAGCTGGGTGGCATTTAAGTGATTAATTTTGTTCAATTTGAATTTACTGTTCTAGGAACCATGAGAATTAAGTGATGTAAATTACATAAATTAAATTATGTGTACCTAGTGTCTGGCACATATATGTTCAATAATTAAGGGTCCTTATTGCTATTTCTTGCTTGTTATTTTATTCTGTTGTTCATAGCTATCTAATTCTTAGTCTTTAGTGATTGTGGAACAGAAGTCATCCTGATAAAAAGTAAAGCTGATTTGTTCCTCTGCTGGTGTCAGATAAACAAACTAGGCTACGTGTAAAATGTTCTTTTTGATAGGCCATTTAAAGTGGAAAGGATTTAGTAGATTGCCAGGCATATGTTTGTCATATAAAACATAAGCAGTAAAATATTGTGGTTCCATTTTTATAGACAAAAAGAGGCATTTTTTTTAAATGGAAAAAATCAAGGATAGAATAAAATCTCCAATTCATTACACTTGATGCGTTGGTAAATTGGAAGCATATACCACTTTACATAAGTCATGTTAATTTAATATATCTCAAATGTTGACCTTGAATGGTTAAAATATTTGGAAGGAAACTAGGAAATACTCGGAAACAGTTCACTAGATCTTACATAAAATGAAAAAAAAAAATCTTAGAAATTGATGTGCTGCTTGAAGTTAAATCAGAAATGACTCGGTTTTTGTGAGAGGTGGTTGACATTGCTGGAAGGACCAACACTCTAAGGGAAGCCCCCAGTACCCTGGAAACGACGAAAGAATTTTCTAAGCTCCATTCTTTTCTTTCCCCTGGGCACCCATTAGATTCTCTGGTATCCAGATGATTCACGCCTTAGGCGGATTCCATAGACAATCAAACCCACAGCGCAGAGACCCAGCACGATGGCCCCAATCACGGGAAGGACAATTGTGTAGTCAGAGGAACACTCGTCCACTAAGAGAAAAAACAAATACAATAGAGCGGGTGAGGTTTGATGAGGGCAGACTGGAAAGCAGGCGAGAGTAGGAAGTCTGAGCTTTGGAGTCAAACCGGGACTTGACTCTTTTTAATTCCACTACTAACTAACTGTGTGAACTTGGGTAAGTTATTTAACCTTGCAATTTCCTCTTTTCATAAAGTAAGCAAAAATATATAGGACTAGTAGCCCTGCGCATGAATCTGTGCGCCAGTAGCTCTCTGTGGGGCCTGGCCGCTCCGAGACCGCTGCCCAGACACAGCGGTTCTCAACCTGTGGGTCTCGAACAATGAAAATACGTCCTGCATATCAGATATTTACATTACAATTCATAACAGCAGCAAAATTACAGTTATGAAGTAGCAACGAAAACAATTTTATGGTTAGGGGTCACCACAACATGAGGACCTGTATTAAAGGGTCTCGGCATTAGGAAGGTTGAGAACCACTGGCCCAGAGGCTCTCTGCGGCCCAGAGGCCCATCCGTGGCCAGGGTGGAATGATTGCCTCGTCGCCATGGCGACAGAGCAAGCATTCCTCCTGGCCGCTCACGCTGCCTGCTCTCAGCGGCTGAACCCTCCCCCTCCCACCCCCGGGACTGGGGGACTCCGGCAGGGCTGAGAGGACTGGGAGCCACCATCTTGTGGCTATGGGCACCGCCATCTTTGTGATGGCATGACTGTTAATTTGCACATTACCCTTTTATTAGATAGGATTGTTGGAGGATTAAGTAAGATAACCTTATCTTCTCAGCAATAGATATTCAACAAAGTTAGTTCCATTTTCTTCCAGGTGTGCTCTCTGCAAAGTGTGATGTGCTTACATAAAAGAGATTGTGTCAAAATGATACTGTTGTAATGAACCTAGTTATTAATATCAGGAAAGCAGCGAAGGGAAGGCCCAATAGTATAGGCATGTCATTTGTGCAGCTTTGCCAGAGGCTGCAGTTTAACACACCCCAGGAAGCCACTGGTCTGTTCCTGACAGATCACTGGGGGAAGGGACTGGACAGGGGGAGAGAATAGACGCATGCCCAGTAAAGTCTGGGTGACCTAGGGAAGGGACTTGTCAATCACCCCTGGGAACAGGTCATTGGCCAGAGTAGGCGTGGCCCCTGCAAGCACGGGAAGATTTGGAATATTTAATCCACTAAATAAAGGAATTCCCTCTCTAAGCTCCTGGTGCTCTGGGTTCTCCTGGGACTCTTATGGCAGGGGGCATGCTCTCTTGGCTCCCCTGCACTCACCCCATGGCCCACAGCCATGTGGGCCCCACACACTGGACAAATGGACTGCAACTAGCCTCATGTTAAACCGGACCCAATTCCAACAAGGAATGAAAGATCTGGATGCTGGCTTTGCTTCTAGCCCTGCTGAAGCCCCGGTTTTACTTCTCCCAGGACTGGATTAAGGAAAATGGGACTTGGGAAACCCAGAGGTGTACTTCCACGCAAATAAAAATCACTGATCCTCCCGTGCAAGTCTCAGAAAGTTCTTTTTCTTGAGCTATCGTAAGGACCCCACCCCCAGCACCCAAGTGGGGAAGGGGATACCCGATATTTACTAGTTATTCAAATGAAACCTTTGTTCTTTTTGATGACTAGAATGTTACTTCAAAATAATTTTATAGACAATTAGTTTTGGGTCAGGTAGATAACAGGAGTCTAAGGAGCAGCCATCACCCCACCCCACCTTTCTGTGATTAAAAATGACAGAAAGGAAAAATTAAACCTAAGTGAGCGGGCTCTCTTTCCCTCTCCTCTCGATTTGAATTCCATCCGCTGTGGAGACGTCTGGACACACTAGAAGATGAACCTCCTGTTAGTCATCCTGGTTAGTGGCAGGCTGAATCAACACCTCGTGCTCTGCAGTATGGGACCTTCAAGGCCACCGGAGGCAGGACCGGAAACGGGATCCAACAAGGGGCACATGGAGAGAGATGGCATCTCTCCAAAGCCAAGCCCTGGCTGTTGAACCCGAGTCACTCTGGAGAACACCGGGTCCTCACAGCCCCGATTCTTCATCAACATCTCCTGCTCTAAAGAACTTCCTGACACTCCTGACGCTGTCCGGGGCTCTCGAACCTTCTTGAGGCTGCTGTGTGCCCTCCCCACCGCCTCACTTCTGGAAAGTGGAGAGAGCTGAAACACCTCCAGGGAATGCCAGCACACGTCCTAGATAAACAGTGGCTGTGGAGTTGTTGCCAACTTTCATAAACCTGCTGTGAAGAGTAATGAATAGCACCTTTGGAAAGTGTAGCAAAACAAGAAACTTCCTGTTAGTAAAGGCGGCGGACATCCAGACAGCCATGACTCGCCTCTTTCTCTAGAATAAAAACCCCACTTCTCCTGTTTAAACAGACCACGTAATAGAAAATCAGGAACAACATGCTGAGCCTTATTTTAATAGAACTTTCCCTCCAGATAGCAATCACTCCCATCAGGAATTTCCCAGTTTATAACTTTTTTGGGTAAATGTTTGCTAAAAACGGGAAGTGGGACACAATCTGGGTAGATCTACCTCTTCTGCTGGCCAGTTCTGATTGTTTTCAGGCTTGGCCCCCCACCCCCACCCCCACCATGGCCCAAATCAACCAATTTATGAGGACAGACTAGAATAAGAAAAATAGAGACAAAGCAGAAAAAAACGTGTTAAGAAGACAGACAACAAATGAAGGTGAAGGAATTGGAGAACTAACATTTATTGAGCTTCTTTTGTTTGCCAAGGTCTTTAGTACACATTTTACATTTTTTTAAAAATGAAAAGTTAGAAAGTTTTCTAGTTTTTAATGAATAGTACATTACAGTAGTGCAAAATATGTCTTTTAAAAAATGATAGTCTATTAAGACTATCTGTAATTTAAGTAAATCAAAATTTGGGCAAGACCAGGAGTTTAAAATCAGTTTAGAATGTATTTTGAAATGGATAGTTTCTGTAAAAAAGTAATAAGCATAAAAAATACTGGGTAGTGAGACTCTTAAAAATGTATAAGAAAAAGCAATGCAATATGAAGGTGTCCTTCCCACAATTCTCCCTTTGGGTGTCTGCTTTGTCCTCACACGCACCCTACGCGTGTCCCTGCCGCATGTTCCCAATGCTCACCGCCGGGCCCACATTATCAGGTGTGGAGGATGGAACTCGAGCCCATGAGGCCCGGCCTCCCCACACTCACAGGAGAAAGCAGGAGAGGCTGCATTTTAGCCAGCCTTTGGGTGGCCTTTTGGTGGAAAGCTGGGGTTTCCTAATCAGACTGGGAGGGTGGGAGAGGCAACTAGAAAAGTCGAGCCCTTTGCTTTAGGCTGAATATGAAGCCAGAATTCCCAAGGCCTTAACCCCACACATTCTGAAGGAGCAGGGGTTTCATATGCGTTCATATCCTCTACCGGGCCTCTCCCTGGCCACCAGGCATGCTGTTAGCAGAACGCCAAGCAGTCCTGCGATACTCAGACCCACGGCCACAGGGATTTCTCTCTTGTTTTTGTCTCTGAAGCACTCGTCCGCTGTAACTGAAGTCAGAGTAACAGGTGTTACAGGCTAGCACGACGCTGGGATCCATCCTGCCCCTGCCTGCCTCGGCTTTGCAGAGAAGGAAACCAAGGGAGAGAGGGAGCTGCTGGGGCTCCCACCTGCTGCCTCCGACATACCAGGAGGGGAAGGGTCAGCACAATGGTCTGACTGTGTGCTTGGGGTCACGTAAGGAGTGTATGTGTATGACATTGTAGATACCTAGGCCCCACGTGGGGGCCCAAGAAATTATGATTCAGTGGGTTGGAGGTGGGGCCAGGTCATTCTGATGCAGCTGGGAGGCTGATTCAACTGGGAGAAGCATTGGTTTGGTCTAGAGCAGTGGTTCTCAACCTTCTGGCCCTTTAAATATAGTTCCTCATGTTGTTACACCCAAACGTAAAATTATTTTTGTTGCTACTTCATAACTGTAATGTTGCTACTGTTATGAATCATAATGTAAATATCTGTTATGCAGATGGTCTTAGGCGACCCCTGTGAAAGGGTCGTTCGACCGCCAAAAGGGTTGCGACCCACAGGTTGAGAACCGCTGGTCTAGAGGGTCAGGAGCAGAACTGTGTCTTGACTCCGAAGTTACGGTAAGCCCTGGACCCATGGTTCCCAACTCAGGAGACAGCGACGTGCACCAAATCACACGGCCCAAGTTTCCCATTCAAACTCTGTGCTTCTTAGCGGGGCTGCTGGACAGCCTGGGGCTCCAGGATTTGAGGGAGGAGGGGGTGAGAATGTGGGAGTCAGGAGCCCACTGTTCGGGGTGACCATTCTCTGTGACCAGACTGAGCATTTACACGTGAGTTATTATGAGAGGGAGGTTTCAGAAACTGAAGTTCAATGCCTGGACATACGTAGAAACCCTTGTAACACTGTTTTTCCAGCAAAAAGGGGCTTTTGGGGAAAGTTACCCTGGTCTGTCCCTGGCCTTCCTTCTAGGACCTGCTTCCCTCTGCGGTGGTTAAAGCTCAAAGCAGAAGTTACATGGAAACTAACACTAACTATGAGGAAATGGTGTGCAATTGGGAAGAGGGGGTCCAAACGAGTACATTTCTATCTTGGATCATGGCATTTTTCTCTTTTCCCTCTGTAAGTGGGAAAGAATCTATTCTGAAAGCTTGAATTTTAGACGTCACTAACACTCAGGATCTTTAAAGTGTTCTCCAAACACACCTGAGTTTACTAGTACTCAACAGCTTATAAAGGGGAGGTTGAAGATGGTGTTTTCTGGCTGTGTGTGTGTGTTTAAATGACTCAGACAAGGACAATATATTCTGCTATGGGAAAGCAGTAGACATGAGTGGCTTAAGGTTTCTGGTTCTGTGGTTGGTATTGACTCATAGAAAGATGGTAGGAGGGAGGGTTGGTCCTAAGAGCTTTGTGGAATCATACTGTTCTAGAAAGCTCATGTGATTCTTGCCCCTTTGACAGCTTCAGACAAAAATAACAAACCAAAAAAAAAAAAAACCATACCTTGAAACTACCCATGGGTCTCTGAAGTTTATGTTTGTGACATGGCGAACCCTTAACTTACCATTTCCAAAGTGGTCATCTTCGAAATCGAAGGCTTGAAGTTGGACATTCATTGTCTTCAGTTGAAGGTAGGCTGACAGCTGGATGCTCTGCTCAGTCACACACTTGAAGGAATGCCCGATCACCGTCTCAAACATCATCACAGAGCTCTTCATTCCTTGGTAAATTTTCTCTGAAAACAAAGGTGAAATAAAGGCATATAAGAATCTCAGCATATTATCTATTGAGTCATGGGTTTGATTCCCAGCCAGGGGCACATACTTCAGTTGCAGGTTCCATCCCCACCCTGGTCCAGGTGTGAGCGGGAGACAACCAATCAATGTGTCCCTCTCACATTGATTTCTCTCTCTCTCTCTCTCTCTCTCTCTCCCCTTCTCTTCTCACCCCTTCCACGCTCTCTAAAAAATCAAGGGAAAAGATGTCCTTGGGTGAGGATTAAAAAATAAATTAATAAATAAACAAAATAGACATTTCTCCACATTTTCATTTCTTGGCACGTCTCTTTAGTATAAGTTCCTTACGAAGATAATAGAATTTTCAAAAGGAGAAATCAGACATGAAAATTCTTAGTACAGTACCTGCACAGAGGAGGTGCTCACTAATGATCTTTTTATATAGGGTGTCCCAAAATTCACGCAAGATTTGCAATTGAATTGAATTGCAAATCTTGCATGAATTTTGGGACACCCTATATAAACCTGGCTTTCCAGAGACACAGCTGAGTCCTCTGAGAAACTCCCGGCTTGATTGGGAGCATTGCTTTTCTAGGAGCGAACATTATAGAAGTCCTCTCAACTTGCCCCACTGGGCAACTCTCCATACAGCAACCAGGTGAACCTTTAGACATGTAAATCTGATGTGCCATTTTTCTACACCAAACCCTCCAATGGCATCCTTTCACACTTTAGGATAAACTCCACAGTCCTCGCCTTGCTTTGCCCTCAGGCCCTGCCCGCCCTGGCCTGGCTGCCATTCCCACCTCATCTGCGGCTTTGCTCACTGGTCTCTACTGGTCCCTGAACACACCAGCACGTTCACTCCTCGGCCCGTGCACCCGTTGTTCCCGCCAGCTGGAAAGAGCTCCCCCAGGCCCAGAAGTCCCCACATCCCTCTGCTCAAACCTCCCCTGTTCAGAGAGGCCTTCCTCCCCAAAGGGCTCCCCGAAGGCCCTGGCTAAGTAACTTCCCAGGCCTCCCCACCCACCCTGCTTGTGTTTTGCTCATAGAACTTATCACTACTTAACTGTGTATTATAATTTAATGTGTCTGTTTACGGTCCTCTCTCCCCTTCTGGAATGAAAGTTCCCTGAGAGCAGAGATGATAGGCTTAGATAATAATGGATTCCCACTGTATTCCAGGGCTCGGCACTAGCTGGCACTAACTACATTTTTGTGGGATGAATACATGCTTACAAGAATATAGAATAAACTGCACCGTCAACAACAAGTCTGTCCAAAGTCACTACGCTCTTAACAGTCACTGATAATGATTTCTGACATAATGTAGTCCAACCTCCTTTGTGAGCAGATGAGCAAACTGAAGTACGCAAAGAGGTACAAAGTTCCCCCCAAATTATAAATATTGTGGGCTACTCTCTCAGATTGTTTCTCAAAAGCTGCATCAAAGACTCAAGAATTCAAGGGGATGAAGAATGAGCTAACCAGAACCAGTGTCCTTGCTGGTAGACCAGCCTTCTCTAGCTTCTTACCTGGATTTGAGATGGTCAAATAGGCTCCCACTTCATTGATATAATATGAGTTTTCATCCTGTAAAACATCACTGTGTTAATCGTTGGGTAATCTCTGTTTTTATGTTTATGATTCTGGCGCACAAACAGGATCCCAGCTTTTAAATCTTTGATATAAGGGTTTGGGCTGTGATGGTATGGAGCCATAATTGTGTTTGAAAATTTTTTAAAAAAAAGTAGGTATACTACACGATAAATAAATAGTAAGTAATGGCTTGCCCCTGGCCCAAAATTTCTCTACTGCATGCTTGTTGCTAAAGCCTGACATGAAATTTCCACCAGTACAAGTTGAGTCCCTTCAGTTGTGCCAAGTTTCCCCTCTAGAAAATGTAAGTCCATCTGGAAGCTGGATGAGTTGGAGGAGCATACAGTAAGTTTTTGTAATTAATTTTTTTTGTTGGGATTCAAACTGAGACCACTCATCCTTAAGGCTACCGGGGGTGGATTTTATCAGGTCCATAAACCCTCTGGGAAAATAGTGCATGCAAAATTGTGCCTGAATTTTTCTGGGTAGAGTGTCAAGTACTTTCAACAAATTAATGGATTCATGTTTCCAAAATGATAACATGCGGCCACAGTGAGCGGTGCTGGGAAGAAATGGTTTACCCTGAGATTACTGGGTGATCTCTACAAGAGGACCCCAGGGGGTTGTGCTCAGCAATATACCCAGAGATTGTCCTTTTTGGGAAAACAAATCAAATAAACAAATTACAAAATAGCCCAATAACCTCTGGAGAAACCGAGGGAGTGAAACATTAAAGGGAGCTAAACTGAGACATGAAAAATTAAGTTAAAAAAGAGGTTTTTACTTTTTAAAGTAGGTGATTATTGTTTTGAAACATTGTTATTGTTTTGAAACATTCATTAGAAAACTATCCACAAATAAGAGGTGCAAAAACTAGTAGAGCAACCAGAATTTCAAATTGAATTACCTTTAGAAGTTTCAAATCTAGGCATTAAAGAAATTTAACAATAATAATCTTGACTACAATACAGCCCATTTGAATATTGTTAGTGGATGGAATAATTTCTTATACAATATAAGGGTTCCAGAAATACAAACGCTTTTAGAAGGCCACTGCTATTGATACACTGAACCCTAGACTTGCACAAGGTCATAGCCCTAATAGGTAGCAAAAAGATACGACCTCAAGCTGCCTGTCTCCAAATGTAGCCTTTGGCCTCTCTTACATTCACTCTAGACCAGGCATTGCTCTAAGTCTGGGGAGAATAAGACCTGGCTCCTTCCTTCGAGGTGCTCAGTCTCAGGTCTCAAAGGTGAGTTGAACAATGTGCTTGGACCATCCATTCACTTTAGCGAGGAACATCTGCGAGCCAGTCCCTTCTCAGTTGCTTTCACATACCGTTTATTCAGATTTTGTCTGGGTTCCCTTTTAGTGCAAGAGACACTTGGATGCACTTCAGTGCCCAAAGTCACTCTTGCAAGACCCCGGCTCTATCCTAAAGGCAGGGCGATCCATTGAAAGGCTTTAAGCAGGACAGTGACATGAGCATGACTTTGTTTGGGAAATTGCTTGGGCTGCCATGTGAGACCGATATAAGGAGCAGCAGGAAAAGAGTGGTTGAGGCCAGTTCTGAGCCCCATGAAAGACCTCCTGACAGTTCCCCTTTCCTGTGGCATCTCCTTGATCCATCCTCACATGAAGAAAGGATGCTCTATCTATCTATCTATCTATCTATCTATCTATCTAAAGCCTAAGTGATTGTAAACCATTCGACGGGTAGCTATGATGCACACTGACCACCAGGGGGCAGATGCTCAATGCACAGGCATGGAAACATGGAACAAACTGATGAATCTCAGAGGGAAAGGGGGAGAGGGAGGGTGGGAAGAGATTAACCAAAGATCTTATATGTATACTAGAGGCCTAGTGCACGAATTCATGCCCTGGTGGGGTCCCTCAGCCTGGCCTTCGGGGATCAGGTCAAAACCAGCAGTCTGACATCCCCCGAGGGGTCCCGGATTTCGAGAGGGCACAGGCTAGGGCAAGAAACCCCACCAGTGCACGAATCTGTGCACAGGGCCTCTAGTAATTCTATAAAAGTTTCACAGTTTACTAAGCACATGCTTTTACCTACACTGCCTCCTTTGATCCTTGTAATAACCCCCTGAGACAGAATAAATATTATTAGCTCGTTTTACATCTGAGAACAAATAGGCTCAGAAGTTAAGCATCTAGCCTCTGTTCTCATTGTTTGGAGGTCAGATAAAACAAGCACTGGTCCGCAGGATCCTACCCTACATGTTCCTCCATTCTTAGCTTGCAGGTCATATATGTTTAGGGCAGTGGCCGGCAAACTGCGGCTCGGCAAACCGCAGCTCGCGAGCCACATGCAGGTCTTTGGCCCCTTGAGTGTGGCTCTTCCACAAAATACAAGCTCTTCCACAAAATACCGACTTCTGCGCATGGGCCACGAAGTTTCAATTGCACTGTACGTGCACGCCCACACGTGGTACTTTGTGGAAGAGCCACACTCAAGGGGCCAAAGAGCCGCATGTGGCTCGCGAGCCGAGGTTTGCCGACCACGGGTTTAGGGGATGGGCTGGATTTGATCTGGGGGCCATAGCTTGTCGACTCCTGGTCCATACCACCAATGAAAAACAAGGTTGCTAAACCAATCAATTGCTAATGAAATGATATAGAGTGGCTTACCTCCTATTTGGGAGAATAACATGTTACTAAAATTCTTTTAATACTATTTTGAAAATATCTCTTTGTTCCCTTGCAGCCTAGTTTGGATTGTTGAATCTTTGTGAACATTGTCAAAATTTAATTTTTTAATTTACTTAGTGGAAGAATGGGGATCATAATAACAGGATTTACCTCTTAGGTTGATGGGAAGATTAAATGAAGGAATCCATGTAAAAAACTTATCACAGAGTCTTTACTCAAATTTTACCTGGTGTTACTAATAATGCAACAATAAATTAGATTGCCCCTCCCCAGTAAACTTCTCTCACTGAAGTCAAATTATATATTTTTTAATCTATTTCCTAGATTCAGATCTATAATAGAAAAAGAGAGCAAGCAAGTAAGCTAAGCTTCCATAGCTCTATTGATTAAAGAAACTGAAAGCTCAGCTCCAGGGGATAGGAGTTGGTGGAGCGGGGCAAGGATGTGGGAAGCTTCAAGCAGGTGTCAGACTTAACCTAAAACCCAAGGGAAGTTACACGCCACACGTTATTCAGTTTACAGCGTCTGCTTTTTCTTTGACGCCCACACCCATGCGGTCATTCTCTGCCAGATGTTTTTCTTAATTGGGGTTTGGTTTGGAGAATGACAAACATCTCCCATGCCAGATTCGTGAAAGACAAAATGAAAATCCTTTGTGGAGCCATCAACATTGACAAAAGGGGGCCAAGGTCTCCTAATGTCGTATATGGCACTTACAGCAGGGCCATTTGAATAGACCATTTGCAAAAGTCCCATCTCACTACTCATCAATGGGATGCTGACACTGCCAGTATCAAAAGGGAGCTCTGAAATATCTCATCAAAGAGATTCTAATTCCTCAAGGAACCTAAACACCCTCCTTAGCAAAGGACAGGGTCCACAGCAGACGGGGCCTAGAGCAAGCCCGCCAGTCAAGCCTGCTCAGGAAGGCAGCACGCCATTGACCACAGGCCCGGGGTCCTCTCCTTCGCTTCTGCAAAATGTGCTGTAGGAGTTTCATAGTTACAGATGTTCAGGATGTGAATTTTGTCTTCAACATCGATCAGGTCTTTTTGCTCAGCATTGTGTGACTAGCGCAATAGCCAAAGGGCCCAGTTCTCTGTGAAATTTAGACTCACTCCTTTATTGATTTATTTCGTCATCAAACACTTGCTATGTACTGTGTACCAAGTCAGGGCTGGGCACTAGAGAGAGAAATGTGAATGTCATAGACTTGCCTTCGTGATGGCAGAAATTGTGATGAGGGCCCTAATGGAGGTGGCGGAACAACAGATGGAGGCTCAGGGAACCAAGAGAAGAGTCTCCCAGTTTTACCTGGGATGGAGGTAGAGTGGGGAGACTTCTTAAGGTGAAGATAATTGAGCTGAACCATCTTAAAGGATGAATGCAAAAGGAGAGTGAGGGGTGGAAAGGGCATTCCAGGCAGAGGGAAAGTGAAAGGGAAAACAGAGCATAAAATGGTACCATATACTTGGGAAGCTCTAAGCAGTGCCCTCTGCGCTGGTAAGAGTTCTCAGGAGTCTATAAGCTAAGAGGACTCTGCAGGCCCCTGGAAACACTAGGCGGGTTAGCAGATTTCCAGACCTGAGCTGGCCAATGCCCTGCGTAGCCCTGTTGCCCCTCCCCGCTGGGTGACTGGTTTCTCCCATGCCCTGGAGCTGCCCTGCCAACCAGGCGTTGTGTTGAGCACAGAAAGATGAACTCTACCCAAAGTTACTGAAAGGTGTTTTTAACACAAACTATCTGGCAGGAAGGAAGTTGGCAGGGGAAGGAAGGTATATTTATCTTGCACCTGAAGGGTCTGAACAACTTTCAGCAAGTCACTTCAGTCAAATGAGAATCGTCACGGAAAGGTTTTCGGTTCTTTAAAAAAAAAAAATGGAACTAAAGAAAATAAGAAAGGAAAGCTACCTCTCCTAGCCCGACTATGGCCAGAGACCATGCTTAGCACTTGCACACATGCTAGCCCACTGGCCCCGCCAGCCGCAGCTGTGCTGTGGCTGCCCCGCCTGGGGAGGATGGGCACTCCCTAGCCTTCCTTTTGTCTCCTCTCTACAGAGGCCTTATTAGCACTTGCACATACGCTAGCCCCGTGCCCCCTGGGCTTGGTGAACTACACAGGAGAGGAAACAGGCTCAGAGACAGTGAGCAGCTTGCCCGTGGGCACATGGAAATCATATGGGTAATTAGAGTCTTGATTGGACAACGGCATCCAATGACAGTATAGGAGGCAGATTTTTCTCTATGTTTCTGTCACTATATTTGAATTTTTAAAATTAAAAATTATTGTCCATGACCTAGAACCTGCAGCTACAGCTTATATTTCTTTTCTTTTCCTCCATAATGTCTAGCTCAGTAAATTCTTATTGATAAGTTGGTTGAAAATCAAGCTTGCTAATCAGCTTCCATTTATCATTCCACAATCTGGTTCTCACTTATCACAATCTGGTTCTCACTTATAACATTTACTAGAGGCCCTTGGCCCCCTCTGCCGTGGCAGCGGCCCGGGGGCCTCTGCCTCACCCCGCTGCCTCGGCCCCGCTGCTGCGGCTTCGTCTGGAAGGTCATCCGGAAGGATATCTGGAAGGATGTCCAGTCTAATTAGCATATTATGCTTTTATTATTATAGATTGTATTATAACTAAAATATACTCCTGTTTTCCAAGGCTCTCTTTTTCTCTAGAGCACGGGTTCTCAACCAGGGGTGACTTTGCCCCCAGGAGGACATTAACACTATCTGGAGACATTTTGGGTTGCCACAACTGGGGTTGGCATCTAGTAGGTCGAGACCAGGGATGGTGTCCCCACAAGGTAAAGGACAGCCCCCACCACGAGACTCATCTAAGTCCAAATGTTACTACTGCGCCTGTTGAGAAACACTGGAGTAGAATACAGCAATATTTGAAAAGTAGCTGACCGAGCCGTTGAGCCATTTCTCTTGTGGAGGAATCTAGATGGCTTTCCTGCCTTCATGCATTTCACACAGCTCACCTATTAGGGCAGAAGGCACCACTCTGGGGTCCACAGATCAAGTCCGGCCTCAGCTATGTTTTGTTTGGCCAGGAGAGCGCTCAGATTTTTAAAAATGTGTTGAAAACACTTTAAAAGTCATGTGCTTTTATAGAAGGACCTGAATGTTTGCCTTCCTTTGAACAATCAGAAGCTCGGGCAACATTGGTCTCATTATCACCTGAGAGGGGTAATGTGTATAATATTTAACAACTGGTGCAGTAGGGCAGTGCCCGCCATAAAGGACTGTGACAAGTGCCCCGGGCCAGATGCCAGCCCCACCTCACCCCACCAACCCCAGGAGGGGAGGACGGGCACTCCTCGCCTTCCTTTTGTCTCCTCTCTACAGAGGCCTTGTTAGTTGCCACTTATCATCTCATACTTACTCTAATGTTTTTCTTATGCAGATTTAATGGAAATCTCCCTTCACATCAAAAGTGGAGAAATATTTTCGCTGCCAGATGTGGAAAAAGACATAGAAGACCGAAGGTCGTAGAGTGCGGATGCAAACTCCTTCCAGAAATGTTGAGAGCACTTGTTTATGTGCGTCCTTGCCAACATTAAGTATTATTCTACTTAAAGATCTTTGTTAATTGAATCTATGTAAAACATTTTATTTTTTTTAAAGTAAGAAAAATAAATAAATTACCAGCCCTGGCCAAGTAGCTCAGTTGGTTGGAGTGTCGTCCTGATACGCCAAAGTTGTGGGCTCAGTCCCCGGTCAGGGCACATACAAGATGCAACCAGTAAATGCATAGATAAGTGGAACAACAAATTGATCTCTCGATCTCTCTCTCTCTCTCTCTCTCTCTCTCCTCTCCCTCTCTCTCTCTCTCAGTTCAATCATAGTTCCTGGTTATTGAACATCTACTTTCCTTGTATTGGACAATGCTCTTTACAGAAGTGAACTCGAATTCCCTTCCCCCATTTTTCAAGCAATAAAATAAAGCTCAGACCAGTTGAGTTGCCTGCCTGATGTCACAAGGAGAACGAGTGACGCCCTGGCTTCACGCCCGTGCTCTTCCATTCTACTCTGCTGTTTACGCCCTCCCAGGAAATGGTCTAGAAAACCCAGGGCCTGGTTAGTCCCTGAGTTTTGCCTGCTGTGGCTGGAAAGACCCATTGTGACATTGGGTTTTTGTCTTAGACTAATCTTGTTTCTCTGGTGCTCACTGGGAACTCCTCTGGGTCTAGTCATCTCTACAACTTCCTCCTTGGGTGGTTTGCAAAGGGCACCTGCTGCTGGGTTCCCCAGGCCAAGTCTCCCCCAAGAGGCATCAAAAGGCCTTCTGAGCTGCACAGAGGAGGCAGGAGGGGGCAGAAGGCAAATATAAGATGTCGACACTTTCCTCCTCTCCATCTCCATGCCCCTCATTCTTATCAGAGAACATCTCAAAAGGCTCTGAGATCTATTTCCCTGGAACTCAAAGTGAAGTGTGGGCTCCAAGGGGAGGGGGAGGGAGAGAGATGTTGAAGCCAGTTCGTGTGAAGGAGCTCAGTCCTCACCTTGGTGAATGTCAGGTTCACAAATCCACCCTGGAAGTTCAAGAGAAGGTTGGAATTTCGGAAGCCACAGTTCCCAGAGGCTTGAGTTGCATTGGGGTCAATGTTGAAGTATCTCTCAGGTGAAAAAACCTAAACCAGATAAAGTAGATCAGCTCATGTCGATACAAAAGACAAGTCTAGCTGGGGAAGCAAAGGCACAGACTAATAAGTGAGCCTGAAACTCAAGGCTAGCGGGGGTTCACTTGAGAATTTCAAAGTCCCTGCATGGCACCTCACATTTCCAAACTGTTAGGTTCATAGGATTCTTCAAAGGAGTTCTCCCTCAGAGAGGAGGTCCTGGGTAGATAACTCATGGCAGGTATATTCCTGATAAACTGTGTGGGAGTTAATTTTTGTTAAATTATGCATGTTGAAAGGTACTGCGGGAAAGATTTGCTATGTAATGTACTTCAGTTTCAAATGTGGAAGTTCTGTTTGAAATCATAAAAACTGTGCAAAAAAGCCTTAGCCGGTCTGGCTCAGTGGATAGAACATCAGCCTGTGGACTGAAGGGTCCCAAGTTTAATTCTCGGTTGCAGGTGTGGGAGGCAACCAATCGATGTGTCTCTGTCACATTGATGTTTCTCTGTCTCTCTGTCTCTCCCCCTCCTATCTCCTCTCTCTCTAAAAATCAATGGAAAAATATCCTTGGGTGAGTATGAACAACAATAAAAAAAACTGTACAAAAGAAGAAAGTACAGCTTTGTGATGATTCCTTTAGTAAATCAAATCATCTCAGTTTCACCTCCATCCCCTCCAATCTTCTTGTTAATCTGGATTTTCCGTATTCATGTCCCAGCTGGCGGGAACCACGGAGACCACCTAATCCAAACCTCTCACTTCACAGGACAAGTTGCTGAGGCTGGGAGGCCATCAGGCGGGCAGGGCGGGGTGGGATCAACACTGAGCACCCCTAATGCTCTGCCTGTGGTGGCTAAACGTGAGGGGAGTGTGCGGGAAGCCACCACTTTCCCAATACTGCCATAAGAGTGCACCAAGGAACACGGAAGGCCCATGGACCTTGGGCATTAGCAGGGCTGTGTTGAGATAGCAGTGGCTCAAAGCAATTTCCTGACCTAATAGCCTCAGAGTAAATGTTTACTGGACCTTACTGATCTTTACTGATCTTTACTGACCTTAGAGATGGTCTGTCTGCTACCTGTTTGCTGTGCTTTACTGAGGGCAAGATGTGTATCTAAAACCGAATAAAAAGCGGATAAGGCCAGGTTTCGGTGTGCCACTCCAAGAGAGAGGTCTCCACCTGCCCCCGTGCCTTCTAAATTCATATTTCTTGTCTAATATTTCACGTGTCCGTCAGCCCCTCCTTCAGATCCCGAACCCTAGCCGTGCAGGTTGCGGCAGGCGTGCATATTTAAATTTTTGGTGAGTGCCTTCCTCTCTCCCAGCTGTCGCTGTCGGTTTCTATTTTTACACATATTCTAAAACAGATTCGCCTACACCTTTGGAGCAGCGGTCGCCAACCGGTGGTCCGTGGACCACTGGTGGTCTGTGAGGTTCGAAAGGTTGTCGACCGCTGTTTTAATGGAGCACCTTGGAGAAAGAGGCGCTCACGCTATTTATTTCATGAAAAGATGCGGGATGCAGGGGAATGCTCATTCTTGGCAAGGAAACTCCACTCAAACCTTTTGAAGACAGTGTTATAGTCCCGAGGCCCCAACTTACCGACTCCCTGTCTTGAACCATCAGCTGTATCCCCATCTCTGCTTTGATACAGAGCCTGCTTCCATTTAGAACTTGATAAATTCCAGTCTTGGCTGGTGATGGCTGAGGTGCCAGGGTGGGCCCTGGAGCTATGGTGGCAGGCGAGGCTGTGTGGGTGGCATTGTGTGCAGCTGTGGTTGTGACCAGGGCATGGGTGGGTTGAGTGGGCTTCTGACTGGTTGTGTGGATGTGTGGTGAGGTGGACAAAGTTGCTGGAAGGGTGGTCTGGCTACTGGGTTGGGTGGTCTTCCCAGTTGTGTGGCTGGCAGTCGATGGGTTGGGTCTAGTTGTATGGGCTGGTGGGGTGATAGTGGGGGGCGGTGAACCAGGAGCTGTACTGGGGCCGATTGTAGCCTCGGTGACGGGAGCAGCCGTGTGTGAGTTGTTGGGTGTGGCCAGGGTTGTGACTAGAGTGTGGATTTTTGGGCTGGTGGATGGGGTGCTGTTTGTAGTTATCGGAGAGGTTGTTGTTAGAGTTTTTATTGTTGTGTGTGTCGTTGGGGTCTCAGAGTTGGAGGTTGTGGCAGCTGTTTGAGAGGGGACGTGACTATCCGTTGAACTTGCTGCTGTAGTTCTGTGAGGCACTTGGCTAGTCCGTTTCAGGAAAGAAGGTTTTGCTGTGGCCTGTACTGTTGCTGCTCTTGTAGGTTGAGAAGAGCCTGTGATTTCTGGAAACCCTGTTGCTCTTACTTGACTGCCATGATGCAAAATCACTGCAAATTGGGGAACAAAAGTGATAACATTCAACTAACAGCTCACAAAGGTCTTCCCCCATTCTTCGTTAAAAATTAACATGCATATTTCCAGATTTGGGGGAAAGTTAAAAGCATATAACAGTCAAGTGAAGATCACCCAAGATTCTACCACAAGGCCACAGCCGTAATGTTTTGGTCGTACCCATGTTTTTTTTACAAGGATGTGATCATATTGCATCCAGCCCCTGTGTCTTCTCTATCCAACCCCCTTGTCTAGATGGGGTGTTACTAACACACCAAGTGATCACACTCAGTGAGACAGCTAAGTGTCCATTCTTCATTCCCCGTCTTCACCTGTGAAGACAGTTCCTGGGAAGAGGGTGTTCCTGGGTAGCGCGCGGCTGTGTTGACCTGACTCAGCTGGGGCAGTGTGAAGAGTGGTAATAAAGAGACACAGAGTTGTACAGTTTGCATAAAACCATATAATCCCAGATTCAAAAGGGATCTTAAAGATCTGCTAGTCCAAACCCTAGTCGGATGTGTAAATTGGACCGATGAGTGGCCATGTGTTCATCTGCTCTATGCTTGGTTACTTCCAATGATGGGAGAGTCAGTACCCTTTCATGTTTTATCTTGCCACCAGTCTTTCTAAATATAGGTCAGTTCCTGTCATTTCCTTACTGAACCTCTGAGTGGCCTAACCTTTCTCAAGTTAGAAAGAAAATTAAGCCATAATGGCTTTGGTACACCTGGTGGGCTATCCTTCATGTTTTGGCTTATAAGGAGCAGGCAAAAGTAGGTTAGATTACCAGCCATCATTACCTAAAGGTAAGTCATAAGTAAGAATACAAAATAATACAAATAAATAAGACAATAACTAATAAATAAATAATAATGCAAGGGTAAACTGTGTTTTGCATACTTAAAACTGTCAACCTACTTTTGCCCGCCCTGTATCTCAGCTCCTTGGAGTCCTCCCTGTCCCCCTTATGTAAACTAGCTCCCCATCCCGTGACTCTCCATCACAGAGTTGGATTTGTTGCCTTCACTGTACTGATCACAACTTGTAATTCTATAAAGGGATGGGAGACAAATATTTAACGATAAGCCTGGCCAGACAGTGTGTCCCAGCAGAATGCCAGCTGTGGTTAAATGTTTACGTATTGACTTATTTGTTGATTGCACATCTCTCCCACTGGATTAGAAGCAATCTTGAGGTGGGAACGGTGCATATTTTTTCACCACCAGTGTCTGTGCATAGGAAGCATTCTGTGGCTATGGATCAGATGAATAAATAACTGAATGAGTGAATGAGGGTAAGAGGACTGTAGACCTCTAGGATGTTTGTAAGGCTCAAAAGAGTTGGTTTAAGTGAAAGCCTTCATGGAGCATTAAGCAGTGTGTGTTATTGTCACAGGTTCTTTCTTGGGCTATTCTTGAAGAAGGCCTGTGGCTCTTTTCAACCAATAGCTCTAGCCTTATCTCCCTCCAGGCACCTCGAAAGCCAGAAAGGGGGACAAAGTGCAGACGATGTTCCTTGGGAGTTTGTGATGAGGTACAGCGAGAGATGGCGTTGTGTCTTCAAAGCTGTGATTTCATTGCATTTTTATACACATTGGAGATGTAGCTGCCTGGTGCTAGGCAGTGACTTGGGAAAGACAAAGGAGATCTCTCTCTGATGGTATTTATAGAGTCCTGAAGTTCACATCTAATTAAAATCACCCCTAAACTCCTTTTTTAAAAAACATATTTTTAGCCAGTCAGCCTGGCTCAGTGGTTGAGTGTCGACCTATGAACCAGGGTTGATTCCCAGTCAGGGCACATGCCCGGGTTGCAGGCTCGATCCCCAGTGTGGGGAATGCAGGAGGCAGCCAATCAATGGTTTTCTCTCATCGTTGATATTTTTACCTCTCTCTCCCTCTCCCTTCTTCTCTGAAATCCATAAAAATATATTTTTTTAAATGCCAACCCTTAAAATATATATAGGCAGTGGGCAGAAGTAAGGGCAGGGCATAACTCAGAACCTGTCGACCCTCCCTCTACTGAAAACAACAACACATCCGTGGAGTCACACACTGATTTGCCAAGCCCCTCGCCTCCCAGCATCTCCCCTCCAGAATTCAGGAGCCTCAGCAAACGAGTGCCCCAGGGCCTGACCCAGTACTGACTGGGACTCCTCTAGAGAATGAGCCGCAGGAAGAGGCGTGAGAAGGTTTTGGTTCTCCTACAACCTGCAGGCTCCGGGAAAGTCAGTGGCCACACAAGGGCCTCTTCTCTAGGTGTTTCCCAGGTGGTCAGTCCTTCCCAGAGAGCCTTTGTTTGGTTTCCCTGCTGCACCCAATTCCCCAAAAGTGTAGAAGCCTCCTGTGAGCCAAGCTTCATGCTGGCGCTGGGGGCACTTTGTTCTCAGGGGCTCAAAGCCTCAGGAGGCAGAACAGGCCACCCCCCTCCATGTGACAAGTGCTAGGAGGTGGGGGAGGAATCCAACTGGAGGAGAAGTTCCTCAGACAAGGAAGTGAACGGTGTCCCAGGTGGGAGGAAGCCTATGTGCAAAGGCACCGAGGCCTCAGAGCCTGGACCGTCTGGAGAAGAGCAGGAGTCAGCATGGCGGGAACATAAGGGGGGTGTGGGAAGGGGGGTGTGGGAAGGGGGGAGGTGGGAAGGAGGGTGTGGGAAGGGGGGTGTGGGAAGGGGGGTGTGGGAAGGAGGGTGTGGGAAGGGGGATGTGGAAAGGAGGGTGTGGGAAGGGGGGAGGTGGGGGGGGGCACAGCAGCAGGCCGGGCAGGTCTTGGGGCGACACGGTGCATGTGGTGGCTGGAGCTGCAGCAGACGTCTAGAACCATAAGGAGACCTTGGGCAGAAGTCGCTCATAGGATGGTGGGTCCGTGGTCATGAGCCCCCACACCAGACCTGGTCTGAGTTCCTCTGGACTTGTTTTCACATCAGAGAGAAAGGAACATTTATCCTGTGTAATTTACTGTCATTTGGGGCTTGTCTCTTATGTGCAGCTGAACCTAAACTTTAAATCAGTGGTTGCCAACCTGTCGGACCTCACGGGCCACCAGTGGTCCACAGACCACCGGTTGGTGACCGCTGCTTTAAATGACACAAATTTGATGCCCTCATTCCATGAGGGAGGAATTTGAGACAGGGAAGCAAAGTGACTGGACAACGCTTACACAGCTAGTTTATCTAAAAGCTGTGTCTCTCCTAGCAGAGTGCCTAATGGTTTTCTCATCTCCAATTCCACAAGTATTTCTTGAACCCACGCATGCAGGTGCAGTAGTGCAGAGCCTGGACCGCAAGCCGGGCTTTCGCGATGCCAGTCTCAGGGCTGTCGCCCTGAGAAAGTGCTCTGGCCAGCGGAGTGGCCACGAGCAAGTCCTTAACCAGCCTCAGGACCCGCACGCTTCATTCACTCAAGTCCCCTCTGAGAATCCGCAGCAGCTCCTCTCACACTGCGTTTACCACGCGCCCGTGGCATTCCTGGACCTGTCAGTCATCAGTCAGCCATGGAACTGGCTCTCACGCACAGGTCAGCGAGGCTTCCTGCCAGACTGAGATCTTCTGCTCTTTTATTAGCTTGCCCTGCTAAGTGAAATGGTGACTTCCCTTCTGCCTCCAGCAGAATGTGAAGCTCTAATTCTGAAAATGTGGCACCAGAATACACAGCTGGTCTGATCCTTCACCCAACTCCCCTAACAATTGATGTCACACTCCAGTGCCGCCGTGTCCCCCCCTTGGCGCCTGTCAGCAGGGCCTCGTGGACAGAGCTCCTTCCCTCGCGTGTTCAGTGCAGTGGTTCTGGGAGGAATTGCGGATTAACCGGCAAACCTGATCACGGCACCCGAGAGGACTCTGTGTCTTAGAGGGAAAGCGTTCTTGGTGAAAGCAGGGGTTGGGGACATAAAATAGTCACCGAAAGCTCAGCTTCCCAGACAGGCTCTCTGATCCCAAGTATAATGGTGACATTTAAAAATCTTTGACGCCCTGGCTTACCCCTTTTGGAAATGGCGCGATTTGTCAGATCACACCTCATTCATCTTCACAATTCACTGCCTATGTAATATCAACACGGCATTTCCACTTGAGGAAAACAGGAAAAGCAAGACACGGGGTGCTTTCCCCAGACAAGGTAGCAAGAGCCCCATGGCTAAGTCCCGGCTCCCGGCTCCCTCTCTTAAATATAAGCGATCGCCACAGACTCTCCCTGAGAAGGTGCCCCAAACCCATCCGGGACCCAAGGCCAGGGTCACTGTCTTCTGGGGTTGCCACCTGCTCTGCCCAACGCACAGAAAACAAGTCCACACATGGAAGCCCTTGGAAACAATGAAGTGCGCCCACCTGTGTAAGCTAATAATAAGGAGACAAGACGTTGGGAGCCACATACCCACAGTAAGGGAAGCTACCACAGCTCCCCAGTCTGTCCGGTCTCACCTTGGTCAGTGGCACCAAAGTGCAGTTCAGTTTACTAGGACCAGGCCTGGAAGGGTCCCTGTGCAAAGGCGTGTATGTCACTCACCGGCCAGGGACAGGAAGAGCACCATCGCTGCAGGGAGCTGCCAGGGCATGGCTGGGAGCCGGGGCCTGGGACTCCGGAGGCTGGCGCTGCTGCTCAGCACAGCTGGGTTTTCTGAATGGCCCGTGGCTTCCTCCTTCACGTGTGGCTGAGAAGCCGGTCATTTACATAGAGAGAAGTGGCTGATAGGCCCGCCCCCGTGGGAGGGAACCGCAAGTGGCCCTGGGGAGAAAGCAGGCACTTTCATCTCAGGCTCTAGGGCAGTGGTTCTCAACCTTCCTAATGCCGCGACCCTTTAATACAGTTCCTCATGTTGTGGTGACCCCCAATTTCATTGTTACAAATTGAACATAATTAAAGCATAGTGATTAATCACAAAAACAATATGTAATTATATATGTGTTTTCCGATGGTCTTAGGCGACCCCTGTGAAAGGGTCATTCGACCGCCAAAGGGTTCGCAACCCACAGGTTGAGAACCGCTGCTCTAGGGTTTGTGAGGGGATAGGGTATGGGGATGCTCATCCCCACAATTTGAAGGGCACCTGAGATCATTTCTCCACCAGAGGTGGGAGTCTGAGGCAGCGCCTGCCCATTCTCTCTTATGGTGGGTCTTCATTTTCCTTAAGACCTTGAATTAAGCCAGAGATGCCTCTCAGCCAGGGGACAGTCAGCCCCTCCGTCATGAGGGTGGGCAAGAGTCTTAGTGGTTAGAGCTCAGTGGTTAGAGCATGGTCCGTCCGTGTGCTCACTAAGCGTCTGAGGCAGCCACGGCCGCCTCACCTGGGGCCTCACCTGGTGAGGAGCAGGAGAACTGAGCTTGGAGTCAGGGAGATGTGGGCTAGAACCTGGCCTTTGCAACTCCCCAGCTGTACGACCTGGGGTGACCCCTCGGGGCCTCGGTTTCTCCTGCTGTGTCATCTGCTGTATAATGGAGAAAACAATGCCTATTCCCAGGTGGCGTTACAAACCCAAAGTTCCTGGGACACAAAAACAACTCAATATCTTTGAAAGGCAACCTTTTCATGTCTCATATCCTTCCTCTATTAAATTAGCCAAAACAATGGAGGATTATCTCTCAGGCCTATGCATCTGAGTGAAGAATATACAGTGGGGCCTTGACTTACGAGTTTAATTCTTCCCGAGACCGAGCTTGTTAAGGAGCTCATTAACTCAAATTACTCTATCAACTCAATGCAAAAAATCAGCCGAGAGACAGCTGGTATCTCAAAAAACTCGTTAGTCGGGACACTTGTAAGTCAAGGCCCCACTGTACATTCGTGGCCTATAGTATTACTATCAATAGAATGAGATCAACACAACACAGGGGTGTGCGTGTGCGTGTGCGTGTGTGTGTGTGTGTGTGTGTGTGCGCGCGCATGTGCGTCACAATTCATCCCGTAACAACGGTCCGTCCTGTTAAATGTTCTGTGTGCCTTAAGAAGACTGTTGCTGGAAAGGGGCCCTGGCCCTGCCCGGGTCTGCTGGGCTGGCTGGTAGTGTGTGGGTTCTTGACTTCGTGCAGGAAACATCTCACAACATGAGTCCAGGTGAATTTTAGAGGATGTTTATTAAGGCAGGGACAGTGAAACAAGGAGGGACCTAGGACAGGAGCAGCAGCAGGGGAGGGGCTGGGTGGGGAAATGAGCCCAGGCTGGGCAGCTTTGGCTCACTGAGAAGTCAGAGAAAAGGGGGCCTTGGAGACAGGGTCAGGAGGTAAGGCTGGGATGAGCTTCCGCTGCCCACTGCTCCCCTGGTTGCAAGTCTCATAAGGACCCTTAACGTTTAGGAGATTCGTGCCTGTGGGGGAAGAAGCCTAGGGAAGAAGAAGGGGAAGGACATGTTTTTCCTTAAATTTCAGGTTAGATGTTGCCTTGTGAACTCAGCTCTCTCATGAGTTCAAGAAAAGTTGTGCATTTGTGTATTTTCCAGATTTTTTAAAATCTCGTACGTGTGGAGATAGTTCTCCTTCTAGCTTTCCACATCTCAAGCAGAAGATATTTTTAACAGCAGCATGGAGTTCCAATTATGTCAGGACAATAACTTATTAACCAGCTTTTTATTATTTAATATTATATCTGTTATCCATCGTTGCTTAACAAATGACCCCACAACTTAGCAGCTTAAACCAAACATTTATCATCTCATG